ATTTTATTATTATATAAATACATTTGCACTTTCAATTAAAATTTACATTTATTTTGAAAGTATGCTTGCAAAGATAACCTGATAATTTCTGGCTTGTAGAAAACAATCAAACTCTTGGACTTGAAAATATTTTGATAATATTTTGTATGTATTGCTTTTGAATTTAAGGGAGGTACCGGGTTAGTAGATCTTAAGCAACCCATGCTGACGACTAACGGGATGGGGTGGTGAGGCTCGCTGACCCGGTTGACACATGTCATCGTATCCCTAATTGTGTAGATCGATGCTCATGATGTTAATCACTGGATTGTCTTGTCCAAATCCGATAGTTTACAGGCCGCCGTCATATACCTGGAATATTGCCGAGTGCGGCGTTAAACAACAAACAAACAAACAACTTTAAGGGTGGATTAGTAAACAGTGAAATTATGTAGATCTTCGACACTGTTACAATATTCGATTAGGATGCAACATGTACGTAATCGTCCAGAGTTTGGAATGTTATTCTGTCTCCTATCAGTATTAACCCTGTTCATCCAACTCGACCACGATCAATGGGAAGCAAATATACAGTACAATAACATGTGAACTAACCCTCTGCTGCAAGTAATAATACCAAGCGTTAACTAATAAACAAAACTTCTCGAGGTCCCCTCTCCGGAAGATGGATGAAAACAGTATGCTGAAAATACCACATAGTGTACTGGCACAGTTCTACCACACAAAATATCGTTCCGTCATGGTTCACGTATATGAACACTCTAAAATTAGCCTAGGTCTGCACGGTGGTTTACAACGGTCGTGTCCTGCTGGTTAAAGGTCGGGCATCCGCTGGTTATCCCCCTGCGTTATCTATAGTTTGACGAGCATCACACGGCAAATATGAAAAAGGAACTCCATTTAGTTCATCCTCCATCTAGGCGTGTTATATATTTACATTGGACACCCTTTACAACAACATCGTTAAGAACACGACCTCTGCAACCTCTAACTACTCAAGTGAGTGAGTGAGTTTAGTTTTACGTCGCATTCAGCAATATTCAAGCTATATGGCGGCGGTCTGTAAATAATCGAGTCTGGACCAGAAAATCCAGTGATCAACAGCAGGAGCATCGTTCTGAGCAAATGGGAACCGATGTCACGTGTCAACCAAGTCAGCGAGCCTGACCACCCGATCCCGTTAGTCGCCTCTTACGACAAGCATGGGTTACTGAAGATCAATATTCTAACCCGGACCTTCACGGGTCTAGGGACAGTCAATTCTGGGGTAAAGAAATCAGTGGATAATAAATATTTATTTATACTTTTGTTTTTTTAGTTTTACCTCTTTTGTAGCAATATTCCAGCAAGCTCACGGCGGGGGACACCAGAAAAATGGGCTTCACGCACCGTAACCATGTGGGGAATCGAACTCGGGTGTTCGGCGTGATGAGCGAACACTTTAATTACTAGGATACTCCACCGCCCCGGATGACTAGCGTATTAACACAGTCGGGAACATATCAAAATTTTGTTTCAACTATACTCATGACACGTATTCGTACGTTGGTAGAACTGCGAGATACGTTAGGTGCACCTGTATCCGCAGATGTATTTATTATAGTGGATTATTGTATTGAATCACCATATATGAATCGATACTGTACATCGTTCTTCACTGACAATAGAGTGGATCTAGACATATGCCAGTTAGTTTACACTTTTATAGAACGTAAGCAAATCACAACCCTCAATACCAATAGCCTACACATTGCTACAAACAAGATGACTCCCAGCTGGTGGCTTCTAAAAATAGATTAACAGCTGTTTCGATGCGATCGTTGAAACGTTGCTTTTCACCTATCTCTATTGTAAACATTATCTCTGCGACTGATTTATGAGAAAGCCTTATGCTATTAGCCAACCATCTAACGTCAGTTTCTATGGGTGTGATTGTAAACTAGGTGAACGAGAATGAATATGTCTTAGACGATTCAGGCTTAATTAAAGCTGAGCGAGGCTTTCCGAGTACGAAAAGGACAAAGTTTCAACCATCAGTTAAAGTTAAAGATGCAGTCAGGTTTTAAAAAGAATTGAAAATAAAGATCTGATAATCAACCAATACAGACGATCGTTTGAAGAATGTTTCATGCTCAAGTAAAAATGAATCACGATGATGTCCATGATCATTTGCCAATCGATGGAGTGGATCAGCGTAACAAAACCAGAAATACACATCACATTATTTAGCATTGTATCAGTTCAGATACAAATAGCCTGGATACGCGAGTACAGTGAGTGAGATGTAAAGTATTCGGTAAAATATTATTCTGCATTTTCTTGTGAAGGTGTCAGTACGTCATTCGACTGGTGTATTTCCCGATTCGCGGACAAAAGCAATTACCACTTTCATAAGACAGGGTCGTGACAATAATAAAGTATAATCATTCAGGTATGTCTATGAAAAAGAAAAAAACACAGCAAATTCATACTGCTTTCCCTGATTTTAGAAAATAACATTATATTCTGTGCATCGCCCTAACCTTCAGCATTGCTTGCATTCAGTTGGTTTAAATGGAACAAAATGTCGAAGTTATTATGTATGTACATGGAAAAAGTATCGCGAAAACCCATATTTTACATAAACTGACGTTAAGAAGAAAGTACACAGTCACCTGATTCTTTGGTAAAATGTTTTCTTTAAAACAGCATTAATATTTTAAAAAGTGTTTTGATTCTGCCTGTCACAAACATTGTGCAAGTGTTTCCAAAACACCAGAAATTGTACCCAATAACAACATTGCTAGCGAAATATTTATGGTTTTAATGGAAATAGTCCCAAAACACCAGGTGTGTACTTTCTTATGAACGTCAGTATAGTATCGATATGTTACCATTTAACATAGGAACTTATCCAAAAATCAGTTAGGCTTACTATCTGGATAAATTTAATTTCAATTAATAATTTTATGGCAAATCTAACTGAAAAAACCCCCGAAAACCGGTTTAATCACGATGGCAAACATGGCAAAAGGATGTAGTACTGATAACTATGGTGGTATGACATTAACAAGGGCGGTCAGTTTCAAGAATCTGGCACACATACCCTCAAGAAATCAAATAAAAAACCGAGCACAATATTAGTATCTGGTGTACCTTCGCCAACAGCAATAGCATCCCTGAACCTCCTTGGCTCTTTCAGACGTTGCATTTAATGTTGTGGGATTGCGTTCCATATTTGATATAGGGCTTGTCCCAAACATACACTATGGGATTGAGATCTGGGCTCCTGGCTGGCCAAGGTAGTGTTGCTACCACCGATGTCTACCATGAACAACTGGCCTTTGTGTTGAGAGGATGGTCATCAAAATGTGGTACAACAACCCTGTCTGTGATGTCAGTGATGTACCCTTGTCCATTCCCATTTCTCAGATCGAGAGAGGCACATCGTCACCACCTAAGAACCCCTGTCAAATGGTGCCTGCTCCAAAGCATTCCTTTGTGCAGATGCAGTGTTTCTGCGGTGCCAAACACCATCCCGGCAATCGGCGACAAACAAAGGAAGTTGATCGTCGCCCGACCAGTGGCACTTCCCAACAACGTAAAATTCCAGTGACGTCGAGCTTGACACCAAGCTAGCCATGCTGGTAGGTCGTCGGACCTTATACCCGATCGATTTTAGGCGACTTCGGACCACTGTTTTCAAAACGCCAGAGCAGTTTAATGAAACTTGATATTTGCTTAAAGACGGTTACGCGTATTGCTCACCTTGATCGTTACACTAGCGTGTCTAAAATCATTGTATGGTTTAGAATAATCATAAAAACAAACATAATAATGATATGAAAATAAATGGCTATATAGGGGTTCAATATCATAGGAGTTGTGATGCTGTTTGTAAAAGTAAAAACGTGTGTGAGAGGTAAAAAGTTTTTTTAAAGATTATTTTTAGTGTCCAAGTGGATTAAGGCAAGCTGCCAGGCTAATTCTATATTTTATCAACGAATTATCACGAGAAAGTTTAACAAACGAAAAGTATGGAGTGCAGTTGTTTCTGAACTATGAGAAATCTTGCTACTTATACTTGTTGATGATGTCATCATGGTATCTAACGCAATGTGAGAAGTACAGAAGCAACTTCGTATTCTCGGATCGTACGAAGATCTGTGGGGTCTAACGGACCAGAACAGACAAAACTGTTGCCTTCAGGAGTAGGTGACGCTTGTCGGCACAGAATAGCTGTTTCATAAAATGAAACAATATATTAGAGGAGATGACACCTACAAGCAGCAAAAATCTATGACATTATGAATAACATCAGAAAAGAGAAACGTAAAATCATATACCAGATACTAACAAAATATAGAATTACAACTCATGCTTAATATATTTCCATATGATAGGATTTTGAATACTAAAGATTCAGTTGTCATATGGTCCACAAATGATGTCCAATTGCTCTTACTGACACAAACTGTGACTTTTACATTATCTCTGTAATTTGAATTAATTCATAATTACCCGACGACAGACGGTCCGTAACTTCCGTACTTTGTAATTCAAATGACACCAGTTAACCAATTATTCTTAGCCTATATATTATCATTTCATATTTGTTAACCATTACGGTATTAGCATCTGTAACCAAACTGCAGATAAACGCCAAGTCTTCTAATTAAACACCTCTTCTTGAAACTTGATCATATTCCTGGTTCATAGGTCGTCTATGTTGGATTTATAGAGAAATCAAAATGAATTTTTTAAGCTGAGCTGTTTTGATGACAAGACAAGACCCTAGTCTTTAAGCACCTCTTCTTGAAACTTGATCGTATACCTGGTTCATATGTTGGATTTATAGAGAAATCAAAATGAATTTTATAAGCCGAGCTGTTTTGATGACAAGACAAGACCGTAGTCTGTCTCACAGTCCCTGAACCAAAGCTCTCTCTCTCTCTCTCTCTCTCACACACACACACACACACACACACACACACACACACACACACACCGCTACACTATGTACAGAAGCAAGCAGGTACCTTTGTCCAAGTAGAACAGATCCTCGATTCGTATCGTGCTGTCCATTCACTTCATAACTCGGACACCGAACATCTACCCTCCTGTCGGACAGTCGAACAAGTCTCGATGACACTCGCCCTGGCAACTGCCATGTCTTGGGTCACTGATAGCCACAGTTTAGGTCATTGGCAAGTGACACTCCCGGTATATTTACAGCGTGATGCAACACCGCGCTACATACACGCTTGAGACCTTGGCCGTGCATAGCTTTATCGACTTACCGTCGTTACAACAATCAGGCCGGCCACAACACATGGACTGAACACGTGCTCTCACTGTGAATGGCCTTTGACTTTTCACAGTACTGTCATTTTCAAGTGTCGGGCTAATATTCCCATAGCGTTTGTGCCATTTGATGTAAGATGTTTTAATTTGAACATATGTACGTATATGTACGTACGCGTGGACTTATAGTATTCCCAGAAATTATTGAGAAAGTTTTTTCGGCAAATATCTAATACATGTATGTAAACAAGAGACGTTTTACTTATAAGAATATGTTGAGATATCATTCTCTTACAGTCTAAATGTGTTTTCAGTACTTTGTGAAAAATCTGAAAACCTTTTCTACATTGGTTCCCAAATAGGCTGTAAATCCCAGGGATGAGAAGCTTCACACAACATATGGATGACAATTTGGATGTTAAAGAAACGTTCATTACATCTTGTGGCCAGTTTGTGAGTTCTATGTATGTACCAAATAATCCAGTGATGTCTGTAGATGAGACAAGATATTGAATGAAAACTTCCCAGCAACATCCAACAGTCTAAAACATCACATTGAGCGAGTAGACTACGGAGTACATGTTTGGAAACAGCCTCTGTAAATAATCATGAACATTACTTCACCAGTTGACCATGGCTGGAGAATTTGTGATGGTCAGCTTAACCCTATTCTAAAGTTGAAAAATCCTGCTCCCCATGGATTGGTTGAACTGACATCGTGTTAATGCAAAAGTCAGCATGCCAGCAGAGTCTATGTCAATGCAGACATAATGATCTAGTGTGCACAGAGGCCTGCATGTCTTTGTACGGAACACCTTTGACTTGTTGTTAGTAGATGACTCCGATTCTGACATGGAGTAACATATGACATGAAAGAAAGTGAAAAGAAGGGTTAATTGTAAGCTTCTGAATGTATCAAAAGTGATTAAAGAGTTATATGATAGAACAATATGAATAGCTACTACCAGAGCTTAGACGCAGTTATTGGTCATGAATCATATTTTTCAAACACTTTTGGATAATGATATTTCATCAAATATGTTAGGAGTGTGAAGCTTTCATTGACCATATCATTGAAATTTAGTTCGATTCCAATACTGTATTGAACATTTGACACCAAATGAATTGTTTGGTTTTTATATCAGTAGATATTTAGTCCTCCACTATGTATATGTAGTAAAACTACAATGGTGGCCATTTTGAATTTTTGGAAACATATAAAAATTCCTAATAACGTGCTGTCACTCTAGAAGTAAAGAGGAAGTAAACAGAACTTGTTTTAGTTACAAAAACAATGTTAACTTTCAATGAATAAATCACTACCACACATTTTCATGAAAAGTCGGAGAAAAGCTAAAATACCCCCTCTCTCAAAGAATAAGCTGTAAAACATTACCATGATATGACCATACACAACCACTTGTGTTGTGCCCAAGCCATCACTCTAGAAGAGACAAGTGTCAAAAAACAATAAAAGTATCAACTTTGGATGTAAATGGAAACGGCCATTTTGATTTTTTTTCAAAAACAAAGAAGTCAAAATAGAGGTGATCAGATTGATAGAAGTAAAAGTACCCATGATTAACTTTGAGGTGTTGTCGGGCAGCAAACCAAATGTGACGAAAATGCTCGGAGACCCCACCACATATATGATGGCCTGTGAAAAAAACCTGATACCACAATCTGAGAGTATTACAGGCCATTTCATGAGCCCAAGACATTATACTAACTGAAAATAGTGTCAAACAATATCAGTACTGGGGGAGGCTACGATTTCATAATTTTCAGCTGCCTCCTCCTGGACTATTCGGGCCGTTGGAATGAGGTGATCATCTAAGATGTCAAAATATCGTTCCTTCCAATTTCAAGTGAAAATACACAACGGCATCACTCAACGTGATGATATCCCATCCCACATGTGAAATTTGTGGCAATGTTTTGGACGTTGGTAGATAGGTTTCTTTTGTGCAGATTTTCACACAGTTCGGCAAAAGGCGGACAGAACCTTCATCAGAAAAGAAAACATTATCCCAGTCTGGACTTTTGTGAGCCCTACACCAGTTTAAACGTCTTTCTTTTTGTGCATCTTTCTTCAATGGTGAGGGAATTCCGCGTTTTTTCACCCAGTTAAGTCTTTGTAATTCTTGTCTAAGGTTTTCATTACATACCTGAGGACATCCTGTATTAATCATTTCATTTCTGATATTCTCAACGCTTTTCAATCTTCACCTTCTCACGATCTGGCCAAGTCGCTGGCGATCCGTAGTAGGCTACTGAACTTTCTTGCTCCCTGACCCTGTCTTGTGCACAATCTCAACTCCTGACTAATTATTCTTCAAAGTTCTGTACACTGTAGACAGAAGAATGTCAACCAGCTAACTCTTTTGCACTAGTCACACCCCTTGCAAAGTCATCTAGAACCAGCTTTCTTTTCTCTTCTGCTGTCAAATCTGCCATGTCAACAAAGGAAGCCGTCTGTTACACCAGGGGAAATAACTCTTGATATAGTAAGGTTCATTCTTAAGCCCACAAGAGTGACCTCCCATATTGAGTACCTTACTACTTAATGTAATGCCTATTTTAAAATTCTATTATCAATATTAGGAAACACGCAGCTTTCCCACAGCCACCCTTAAACTGACAAAATAAAGTAGAATCAAAGTTATAGATGCTTTGTATTCGTCTCTGATGTAGGTATGAACAAATCTAGATTTTGCAATTTTGATTTAATTATTTTATTGTAAACCGACCGACCCAACTTTAGATGACGTTTGCCTTGTGAAACACATAAAAAAGGGCTGCCTGACATATGCCATCTGTTAGTGCACTCTCCATGTACACCATTACTGATGCTATAAATAGCCCAGGATACGGCAGCACTCAGTCCGGAACAACGATGACTTGACATTTATTACAAACTAATTTACATATCACGTGATCTTGTTTTTGTATATCATCAAGGCTTGGATGTCTGTGAGTGGAACTGTGCAGTCACCGTCAAAAAAGAATAAACACACAAATGAAATATGTTTTGTTTTGTTTTAATATATTTTTTCAATGAATACTAAAGGTTTCATTAATATGGTTTCCTGAATGTGAAGAAAGACGGAAATCATTGTTATCTGTTTATTGCACTGTAGGAGTTGTGATAAATGTTATCACGCTTTCTGCGGCAGATAACCAGGTACCAGGTTGACTGTATTGAGTGAGTGAGTGAGTGAATGTAGTTTTGCGCCGCTTTTGGCAATATTCCAGCAACATCACCAGATGCGGGGTACACCAGAATGGGCTTCACACATTACACCCATGTTGGGAAACGAACCCGGGTCTTCGGCGTGACGTGCAAACGCTTTAACCACTAGGCTACCCCACCGCCCCTACAGTCTGACTGTAAAGAGCCCTGGGTAGAAGACACACACATAATAGGGTATTAGAGCGGGAACACACACACTCGGGTAGGAGAACAGTGACACACGCAATCTGGCTCTAGGAGAATGGCGACACACACAATGGGATAGGGGGTGGGGACACACACAGTCGGGTATTAGAACGGCGACAAATACAACTGGGTATTCAATTCAATATTCTTTATTAATAGTTTTACAACTTATCAAATGTATTTTTAGTTGGTCTGATAATAATCGTTTGTGAAGGATAATGTATTTTCCTGTTTCTAAATTAGTTGAAAGGTCATTGGCCTCCGAGGCCAAAAGGATGCTGTCATGATGATAATTCTCGTTCCAGTCATCCCGAACTTGCATATATCCGCAGGAAGCTGTGGCAGCCGCGCGAGGTCACTTGCGTCTTCCATGTATACTGTACTCTTGCCATCGTCGTATAAAACTCGGATACACACAATCGGGTAGGACAGTAGCGACACACACAGTGGGGTAGGAGAGTAGCGAAACACACAGTGGGGTAGGACAGTAGCGACACACACAGTGAAGTAGGAGAGTAGCGACACACACAGTAGGGTAGGAGAGTAGCGACACACACAGTGGGGTAGGAGAGTAGCAACACACACAGTAGGGTAGGAGAGTAGCGAGTGGGGGTAGGAGAGTAGCGACACACACAGTGAGGTAGGAGAGTAGCGACACACACAGTAGGGTAGGAGAGTAGCGACACACACACAGTGGGGTAGGAGGTAGGAGAGTAGCACACACAGTGTGGGTAGGAGAGTAGCGACACACAGTCAGGAGAGAGAGAGTAGCAGAAACACACAGTTGGGTAGGAGAGTAGCGACACACACAGTGGGGTAGGAGAGTAGCGAAACACACAGTTGGGTAGGACAGTAGCGACACACAGTCGGGTAGGAGAGTAGCGACACACAGTCGGGTAGGAGAGTAGCGACACACACAGTGGGGTAGGAGAGTAGCGACACACACAGTCGGGTAGGAGAGTAGCGACACACAGTCGGGTAGGAGAGTAGCGACACACACAGTGGGGTAGGAGAGTAGCGAAACACACAGTCGGGTAGGAGAGTAGCGACACACAGTCGGGTAGGAGAGTAGCGACACACTCAGTGGGGTAGGAGAGTAGCGACACACACAGTGGGGTAGGAGAGTAGCGACACACACAGTAGGGTAGGACAGTAGCGACACACACAGTAGGGTAGGAGAGTAGCCACACACACAGTCGGGTAGGAGAGTAGCGACACACACAGTGGGGTAGGAGAGTAGCGACACACACAGTGGGGTAGGAGAGTAGCGACACACACAGTCGGGTAGGAGAGTAGCGACACACACAGTAGGGTAGGAGAGTAGCGACACACACAGTAGGGTAGGAGAGTAGCGACACACACAGTAGGGGTAGGAGAGTAGCGAAACACACAGTGGGGTAGGAGAGTAGCGACACACACAGTGGGGTAGGAGAGTAGCGACACACACAGTTGGGTAGGAGAGTAGCGACACACACAGTAGGGTAGGAGAGTAGCGACACACACAGTAGGGTAGGAGAGTAGCGACACACACAGTGGGGTAGGAGAGTAGCGAAACACACAGTCGGGTAGGAGAGTAGCGACACACACAGTGGGGTAGGAGAGTAGCGACACACACAGTCGGACAGGAGAGTAGCGACACACACAGTAGGATAGCAGAGTAGCGACACACACAGTCGGGTAGGAGGGTAGCGACACACATAGTGGGGTAGGAGAGTAGCGACACACAGTCGGGTAGGAGAGTAGCGACACACACAGTAGGATAGCAGAGTAGCGACACACACAGTCGGGTAGGAGAGTAGCGACACACACAGTGGGGTAGGAGAGTAGCGACACACACAGTCAGGGTAGGAGAGTAGCGACACACACAATGGGGTAGGAGAGTAGCGACACACACAGTCGGGTAGGACAGTAGCGACACACACAGTGGGGTAGGAGAGTAGCGACACACACAGTGAGGTAGGAGAGTAGCGACACACACACACAGGTAGGAGTAGGAGAGTAGCGACACACACAGTAGGATGGAGATAGCAGAGTAGCGACACACACAGTCGGGTGGGAGAGTAGCGACACACACAGTGGGGTAGGAGAGAGAGTAGCACACACACACAGTAGGATAGCAGAGTAGCGACACACACAGTCGGGTAGGAGAGTAGCGACACACACACAGTAGCGACACACACGGGTAGGGAGAGTAGCGACACACACAGTCGGGTAGGAGAGTAGCGACAGCGACACACAGTCAGGTAGGACAGTAGCGACACACAGTAGGGTACAGTAGCGACACACACAGTCAGGGTAGGACAGTAGCGACACACACAGTTGGGTAGGAGTAGCGACACACACAGTGGGGTAGGAGAGTAGCGACACACACAGTGGGGTAGGAGAGTAGCGACACACACAGTCGGGTAGGAGAGTAGTGACTCACACAGTAGGGTAGGAGAGTACCGACACACACAGTAGGGTAGGAGAGTAGCCACACACACAGTAGGGTAGGAGAGTAGCGACACACACCGTAGGGTAGGAGAGTAGCGACACACACCGTAGGGTAGGAGAGTAGCGACACACACAGTAGGGTAGGATAGCGACGACACACACAGTAGGGTAGGACAGTAGCGACACACACAGTAGGGTAGGAGAGTAGCGACGCACACAGTAGGGTAGGATAGCGACGACACACACAGTAGGGTAGGAGAGTAGTGACACACACAGTAGGGTAGGAGAGTAGCGACACACACAGTAGGGTAGGATAGCGACGACACACACAGTAGGGTAGGAGAGTAGCGACACACACAGTAGGGTAGGAGAGTAGCGACACACACAGTAGGGTAGGAGAGCGACGACACACACAGTAGAGTAAGAGAGTAGTGACACACACAGTAGGGTAGGAGAGTAGCGACGCACACAGTCGGGTAGGAGAGCGACGATACACACAGTCGGGTAGGACAGTAGTGACACACACAATCGGGTAGGAGAGCGACGACACACACAGCCGGGTAGGAGAGTAGTTACACACACAATCGGGTAGGAAAGAGGCAACATACACAATCGTTTAGGAGCGTAGCGAAACACAGAATCGGGTAGGAGAATGGCGATGCACACAGATGTTATTTTGAGAATCATATTCAGATTCAAGGTCATGTTCATTGTGTGTGAATATAGTTTTACGCCGCTTCTAGCAATTTTACAGAAATATGACTGCGAGAGACACTACAAATATGCTTCACTCATTGTACCCATGTGGGCAATCGAACCCGGGGCGTTGCCGTTACAACCGAACGCTTAACCACTAGGTTACTCCAACGGCCCAGATTATAATGTACCAGTTTAAATATCACTGTCAATTATTTTTTTCTTCTCCTATACGATGCAGACAGGTGTATGCGGTATCAGTCTACAATGTCTGACTTGGATGAGATTGTTTGAATACTAAAATAATTTTATTATCATTCACTTATTGCATAATTCATCCGTGCAGGCCATATTTCCCGTAACCAGCATTCTTAGTCACCCTATCACATAAACCAGTTTGCCGTTGACGTCCAGTAGAATGTGCTGCAGTGGACAATCGAGACTGGTTAGTGTCAGGCCTTGACGTTTTATAACGGGTGAATCAGTTGGCTTTTACGCCGCTTTTAGCAATATCATGATAGGGGACGCCAGAAATGTGCCCATGTGAGGAATCGAACCCGGATCTTTAACGTGACGAGTGAACGCCTTAACCACTAGGCTACCCCACCAACCCGATTTATAATGACTGGATTCAACCTACACCAGTGTAAACTTGGTTCAGTCAGGGTTAATCAATGATAACTTGGCTCAGTACCCGAATTAAACACTATAAAATGTAACATTTGATATAATTAAGAATTGAATGTCACTTTGTGTGTTTGCACTGAAAAATGAACGATGTCAAAGCGTTGTTCAAACTCGTGTGAACGAGCGAGTTTACGTGGCGAGCATATCAAATGTGTAAACTTCAAAGTAAGAAATTATTTCAAAATGGCCACTAGGTTGAGAAACACACCAGTCGCTAGACTAACGCTTAGTTCCTGAATATACATAATTTTGATAGTAACAAATAAACCCATTTAAATTGAAAAGGAGCCCCAGTGAGTTGGAGATTCAGGGGAAATCTAGACTTGTTTCATCTCTTTCAGTGTTGTCACAACCCCTAGTGTACAGTTCACATCCCTGTTCACTTAAAAGAACCCACGAATCCGTTGGGTATATGACCAGATGGTGGCCACATGAATACGTGCAAACACCAAGTTGCGGGTACAGCAACGTGCAGTGAACTTGGACAAAGTACTGTGACTATGTGTCCCAGTCCACCCAGCTGTGAATGGGTACCTCGTTAGGATGAGAAGGCCACAATAACTCGGTGCGCCTAGTGGCTGCAAGACTTGTATGATGCCCAGGGAGTTGAGATTGATAACACGATGTGCCGTTGAGACTGACATCCAATGAACGAGGGAAGAAATACCAGCGCCTTGAGCAAGCACTAGTTGCCTGGATATGTGCGCCATATAAATATCACATAATAATATGAATATCATATAATAATAATTTAGTTCTTCAGCATTGCAAGGAGGTCTAGGCAGTAGGGAAAATAATGTGGTTCAGGGCCTGTGAGCAGTCACGTGTTTGATTGCTTTACCATACAGCTATTAGAGGTTAGCACGTATTTTATTGTTTGACAAAGCTCCGATTGTACCTTGTCTATTTAATGCCTGTTTAAAGGGCAGAATTTCAATAACGCACATGGTGTGAAACAAGGTACCCTAAAGGAGTATTTATCAAAATACATATACACTATCGATAGCTATATAATAACGGTGTTATTCACAACTGAATCATAAATGAAACTCGCTTTAACGATGACGTCACATAGTGTAGGAATACTGCACCGAGGGGTCAGTAACTGGGCACACCTGAGGTCAACCGGGGCATAACGTATTACCATGTGCTTACACTGGTCAGCTTGGGTTAAACCGGGGTTAACATAAGGTCAAGATTTGAAAAGAAACGCAGTCACTGAACTCATTGCGCAATATGAAGTAGGGACATATATAGGTTGTGCATATCAAAGCACCGCCCCAGCTAAAGCCTTGACCTGGCTGAGCAGACTATGTACACAGTGACTAGGCTGTTTGGTGTACACATACCTAACTTTATTAACACTACGCCATAGTTACTGCACGGCGGTTTGTTGACGTTCATCATGGGCTCTCAAGTGGCGTACTCGTAATGCTCGCATCTTAAAGAGGATAATGTATGGATATATTACTCCATACATCCTCCTTATCTCCACGGCTGGCATTTCGGCAAACATACAATAACCTACGTAGGTGTGCCGATATAATTACACAGGACCTACTGAATACAGAGTGTCTCAATTCTCGATGCCAATTTCGAGTCTCTGTTTACCTCAACAAACTCATTGACGGAGAGTTATGAAAAACTATTGAGCAAAAAACGTTATGTATAATTATAACTAAACGCGCACGCACGCACGCACACACACACACACACACACACACACACACACACACACACGTATGTATGTATGTATGTTTGCTTGCATGCGTGCGTACGTGTGTGTGTCTATACCGCACGCAGTAGTAGGACACAGGATCATGTGACAGGGTTTCATTCCAGAGTTCCATCAGGTAGATCGATTAATCACCACGAAACATTATTTCTGTTGATCTTATTGATTATGTTTTTCATACTGTTGTGACGTACTTGATATCGTGCGTGTACGGGCTAAACGAGCAAAACCCAACCGCACTGTCAAATACGTTCAAGGTTACACAACCTGAAATTAGCAGGCAGGTGTTTACAGATCAACATGTTAACAATCGACCCAGTTCAAGACGTCACAAGAGTACAGTATCGTCTGACCCGAAAAGAGGCTGTGCGATATCAGGGATAACCTACCTTATATAGTCTCCCTGACGATATCAAGCTCAAAGGGGGAATCAAATTGCTGAACAAATGGCTGACTCCTTGAGTAAGAGTAACGGGTTAATCGTTGACATACAGGCCATCGCCATGACCAGGTGTTGTGTTACAAACTGGCATACTGGCATGCTGGCATACTGGCATTCTGGCATACTGTAATTCTGGCATACTGGCATACTGATGCTGGCATACTGGCATTCTGGCATACTGGCATACTGGCAACAGGTCTAGAGGGTGTACGGGGGAACTTGGCGATGATCATGCGCCATGTTTTCAGACGAATCCAGATTCACTTTGCGCTTCCTTGATGGCGACGTCGAAATGACCTCATTACAAACGTGGCTGTAGATCGGGTATATATGGTATGGTGACGTGGCTGTGGATCGGGTATGGTATGGTGACGTGGCTGTAGATCGAGTATATATGGTATGGTGCCGTCTCTGTAGATCGGGTATATATGGTATGGTGACGTGGCTGTAGATCGAGTATATATGGTATGGTGACGTGGCTGTGGATCGGGTATATATGGTATGGTGCCGTGGCTGTAGATCGGGTATATATGGTATGGTGACGTGGCTGTGGATCGGGTATGGTATGGTGACGTGGCTGTAGATCGGGTATATATGGTATGGTGCCGTGGCTGTAGATCGGGTATATATGGTATGGTGACGTGGCTGTAGATCGAGTATATATGGTATGGTGACGTGGCTGTGGATCGGGTATGGTATGGTGACGTGGCTGTGGATCGGGTATATATGGTATGGTGCCGTGGCTGTAGATCGGGTATATATGGTATGGTGACGTGGCTGTAGATCGAGTATATATGGTATGGTGACGTGGCTGTGGATCGGGTATATATGGTATGGTGCCGTGGCTGTAGATCGGGTATATATGGTATGGTGACGTGGCTGTAGATGGGGTATATATTGTATGGTGACGTGGCTGTAGATCGGGTATATATGGTATGGTGCCGTGGCTGTAGATCGGGTATATATGGTATGGTGCCGTGGCTGTAGATCGGGTATATATGGTATGGTGACGTGGCTGTAGATCGGGTATATATGGTATGGCGACGTGGCTGTAGATCGGGTATATATGGTATGGTGACGTGGCTGTAGATCGGGTATATATGGTATGGTGACGTGGCTGTAGATCGGGTATATATGGTATGGTGACGTGGCTGTAGATCGGGTATATATGGTATGGCGACGTGGCTGTAGATCGGGTATATATGGTATGGTGACGTGGCTGTAGATCGGGTATATATGGTATGGTGACGTGGCTGTAGATCGAGTATATATGGTATGGTGACGTGGCTGTTGATCGGGTATATATGGTATGGTGACGTGGCTGTGGATCGGGTATATATGGTATGGCGACGTGGCTGTAGATCGGGTATATATGGTATGGTGACGTGGCTGTAGATCGGGTATATATGGTATGGTGACGTGGCTGTAGATCGGGTATATATGGTATGGTGACGTGGCTGTAGATCGGTATATATGGTATGGTGACGTGGCTGTAGATCGGGTATATATGGTATGGTGACGTGGCTGTAGATCGGGTATATATGGTATGGTGAGGTGGCTGTAGATCGGGTATATATGGTATGGTGACGTGGCTGTAGATCGGGTATATATGGTATGGTGACGTGGCTGTAGATCGGGTATATATGGTATGGCGACGTGGCTGTAGATCGGGTATATATGGTATGGCGACGTGGCTGTAGATCGGGTATATATGGTATGGTGACGTGGCTGTAGATCGGGTATATATGGTATGGTGACGTGGCTGTAGATCGGGTATATATGGTATGGTGACGTGGCTGTAGATCGGGTATATATGGTATGGTGACGTGGCTGTAGATCGGGTATATATGGTTTGGTGACGTGGCTGTAGATCGGGTATATATGGTATGGTGACGTGGCTGTAGATCGGGTATATATGGTATGGTGACGTGGCTGTAGATCGGGTATATATGGTATGGTGACGTGGCTGTGGATCGGGTATATATGGTATGGTGACGTGGCTGTAGATCGGGTATATATGGTATGGCGACGTGGCTGTAGATCGGGTATATATGGTATGGTGCCGTGGCTGTAGATCGAATTATATATATGGTATGGTGCCGTGGCTGTGGATCGGGTATATATGGTATGGTGACGTGGCTGTAGATCGGGTATATATGGTATGGTGCCGTGGCTGTAGATCGGGTATATATGGTATGGTGACGTGGCTGTGGATCGGGTATATATGGTATGGTGACGTGGCTGTAGATCGGGTATATATGGTATGGTGACGTGGCTGTGGATCGAATTATATATATGGTATGGTGACGTGGCTGTAGATCGGGTATATATGGTATGGTGCCGTGGCTGTAGATCGGGTATATATGGTATGGTGACGTGGCTGTAGATCGGGTATGGTATGGTGCCGTGGCTGTAGATCGGGTATATATGGTATGGTGACGTGGCTGTAGATCGGGTATATATGGTATGGTGACGTGGCTGTAGATCGGGTATGGTATGGTGACGTGGCTGTAGATCGGGTATATATGGTATGGTGCCGTGGCTGTAGATCGGGTATATATGGTATGGCGACGTGGCTGTAGATCGGGTATATATTGTATGGTGACGTGGCTGTAGATCGGGTATATATGGTTTGGTGACGTGGCTGTAGATCGGGTATATATGGTATGGCGACGTGGCTGTAGATCGGGTATATATTGTATGGCGACGTGGCTGTGGATCGGGTATGGTATGGTGACGTGATGGGCAAGAATTGTATGTTTGTTTGTTTGTTTAACGCCGCACTCAGCAGCTTTCCAGTTGTATGACGGCTGGTTGTAAATAATCGAGTCTTGTCCAGACAATCCAGTGATTGGCAATATGAGCATCGAAATGAGCAATCAGGACACCATTACATGCATCAACCGAGTGAGCAGGACCACCATATCTCGTAAGTCGCAAGTTTTGGAATCTCCATTCTAATCCTGATCGTCACGAGTATTATCTAAGGACGGGTCACAGGGAGTACTATCGACACTAGGTACTGTTGTCCCGTTTGGTGCAGGTCGACGTTTTGTCTTGGAACACATGCCCTCGCCGCGTTAGAATCCCCAATACTCACCTCCATCAGTACGACATCCAAAGGTTACTTGGCTCGTCACGCCGAAGATCCGGGTTCGAATCCCCACATTGGCACAATGTGTGAAGCCCATTTCTGGTGTCCCCCGCCATGATGTTGCTGGAATATTGCTAAAAGCGGCGTAAAACCAAACTCAGTCAGTCAGTCAGTCCAAAGGTTACCGCGTCCAGCAATGAACCACTTGGCTTCCTCTATGGAACACGTCTGGGGCATGATGGGGAGAGGTGTGCGTCAACGTTTCCGCCGATATTGCTGAACTTGGCCGGGCGCTGCTAGAGGAATGGGACAGACAGCAAATCGCCATTGGCGAAGATTGTTAATCGCGGTGGGTGGTATTACGTACTACTGATCCCAAATCGTCAACTTATAAGTTTTCAATCTTGCCCTATCTGGGCGATCAAAACGTGTTCTTTCATCCTTCACTATCGACTCTAAAGTGTTCCCAGTTCCTTCATCACATTACCGACCGTCATACCACTATTACTAGAAACTAATCTCTCTGCATGTCAATATCCAAATCCTGGAACTGAACTGACACAACACGCCTGCCCATGACTTTCTTGAGCTCCAATTTGGTAAGTTTCAAGTTATTTCCGGTTATGTTCATAAATCATCTTCCAAAATTGAAGACGATAATCGGAAATAACTTGAAATTTACATAATTGTACTTCAAAAAATACATGCGCAGGAGTTCTGTGTCGACAGATCAGTTCCAGGATTGTGGTCGAGATGGGCCTGGGATTGGAAACTACGACCAGCGGATACTGACATGAATATAAGGGACGCAACTCTAGCAGCGTGTTGCGACGTTTCAAACCTATGGATGTCTCGTTCGACAGTCCCTTGGGTTTATAAACATTTCTTTCGTAGTTTTAATTGTATTTTAAATAATGCTGCAAGCGACATACCTTCGTGTTCACTCACTCACTCTGAAGCAATGCAACCACTACATTTGTTTGTTTGTTGTGTTCAATACCACTGTCATTTTAGGTATATGACGGTGATCTGTAAATAATCGAATCTGGGTCAGATAATCCAGCGATTGACATCGATCTACTCAAAGGTGGTGGGTTGACAATCAATCGTTGATCACACGACTACTAGTATATGTTCACAAAAGGAAGTTAGTTTTATGGATGTCAGTTTCTTTATTATGAGCAACACAACGTTTCGGAGTATAACCTTACTCCCTCACCAGATGTTCACGTTAATAATGGAATCAGGGCTGCCAACCATGCAAGTCACAGTGCCTGGCCACCCGATTCATTATGTGGCCTCATAACGAGACCAACTTTATCCCCAAATCCCCCTTAATACAATGTTAAGTAGATAACTGCATTTGGTATCAGCTATAGCTCACTGTTTGTTCCTGGTCAGTCCTACTTTACTCAGCTAAAACAACCGTTAGATAGCACAGTGGCAGGTCAAGGCCGGGAGCCCTAGGCGTCAGCGCCATGTGCAGTGCCTTTATCATTTTACAAAGAACGCAGTAATTGATAGATCTAGTAAGGCTTTTTATATAAATAATTAGACCTACAGAATGAGACAACGGATTGTCGTAAGTCCTTCAGTGAAGGAATTCTTCGCCAAGATCCCAATCATAATTTAACTTCAGTGTGACCTTCACCTTCACAGAAGCACGCTACAGACATGTGCTGACGTCCCAGACTGGTTTACGAAGACCTTGATCACGATCAGCACTCCTGCAAGAGTTAAAGCGACATCGCCGTGGGGTTTGGCTGTATGTAGAATACAGAGAGATTAACCTACGAGTGAGTGTGTGTGTATGGTTTTACGCCGCTTTTAGCAATATTCCTGTTACGGAAGGGGACACCGGATATGGGCTTCACACATTGTACTCATGTGGGGATTCGAACCCGGGTCTTCGGCGTGACGAGCCAACGCTTTAACCATTAGGCTACCCCACCGCCCCGATTAACCTACGAGCTACATGGGATTGTGGATTATATCTATAGGCTGAATTAGGATTATTGTGAGCCATTGGGATGATCTTTCAACGATACTTCACGATGGAGTGGTGAGTGATGAGTGAGGGAGTTAGTGCGGCTGTACGCCGATTTAGCAATATTCCAGCAATATCACAGCGGGGGAACTGTGATAAGCTTATTCTTTATTGCATTACTACTGCTTCTCTTCATTTTCCTTTTTGAAAACTGTTATCAAATTAACTCAGCCTATTTTGGGAAAGAATTTACATGGTGCCAAGTTGCTGTGGGATTCAAGCCATGCCATTAGCAGGAGGGAAAGTACATAATACCTACTTATTGTTATTGAAAACACTTATTCATCAGCCATGACCATATGAGCAATAACTGGCCATGCTCGATGTTGCGGACAGATATGAATTCCGGTGTTTGCACATGGATGTATAGAAACACAAATCAATTAACATTGTATTGTAACAGCAGCGTAACAGCTGGTGCCTAGACGCATATGTATCATCATCCAGAAATGTATACGAACATGATGGTATCTAAACAATATATTTCGCAGCATTTCTTTCGGTCGTCTACAATTTGCTGTAAATTAGTAAGATTAGTAGATTATTCAGTTCACCAGGTCAATCAGCATGTCACTTGATGTGAAACTTGTCCTACTTAACTAGATCAAATAACACAAGTCTAACTGAAATAAGAGGAATGACAGAAAAATGGTTCTTAAACTAGCTTGAGTTGTTTTCAGTTTTTGGAGTAACCTAGTAATATAGGGTTTCTATCACAAGCTCATCAACCAGGCGGTTATTTACGTTGATCATGTTGGGAATAATTCCAGGCATAAAACTGCCCCGCGATTACGAGGACCTGTCTGTTGGAACATGTGTTGGAACGTCTGTTGGAACATCTGTTGGAATGTCTGTTGGAACGTCTGTTTGAATGTATTTTGGAACGTCTGTTGGAATGTATTTTGGAACGTATGTTGGAACGTCTGTTGCAATGTCTGTCTGTTGGAAGGTCGTTACGATAGTTATGGGACGAATTCCAGGCATAAAACTCGCATATAACGTCTGTTGGCATGTCCATTTCTTGGAACATGTGTTGGAACGTCTGTTGGAACGTCTGTTGGAACATCTTTTTGAACGTATGTTGGAACATCTGTTGGAACGCCTGTTGGAATGTCTGTTGGAACGTCTGTTGGAACATCTTTTTGAACATCTGTTGGAACGTATGTTGGAACGTCTGTTGGAACATCCTTTTGAACGTCTGTTGGAATGTCTGTTGGAACGTATGTTGGAACATCTGTTGGAACGTCTGTTGGAATGTCTGTTGGAACGTCTGTTGGAACATCTTTTTGAACGTCTGTTGGAACGTCTGTTGGAACATCTGTTGGAACATCTTTTTGAACGTCTGTTGGAACGTCTGTTGGAACATCTGTTGGAACATCTGTTCGAACGTCTGTTGGAACGTCTGTTGGAACATCTTTTTGAACGTCTGTGGGAACGTATGTTGGAACATCTGTTGGAACGTCTGTTGGAATGTCTGTTGGAATGTGTTGGAACGTCTGTTGGAACATCTTTTTGAACGTCTGTTGGAACGTCTGTTGGAACGTATGTTGGAACATCTGTTGGAACGTCTGTTGGAATGTCTGTTGGAACGTATGTTGGAACGTCTGTTGGAACATCTTTTTGAACGTCTGTTGGAACGTCTGTTGGAATGTCTGTTGGAACGTCTGTTGGAACATCTGTTGGAACGTCTGTTGGAACGTATGTTGGAACATCTGTTGGAACGTCTGTTGGAATGTCTGTTGGAACGTATGTTGGAACGTCTGTTGGAACATCTTTTTGAACGTCTGTTGGAACGTCTGTTGGAATCTTGTCTGTTGGAACGTCTGTTGGAATCTTGTCTGTTGGAATGTCTGTTGGAACGTCTGTTGGAACATCTGTTGGAACGTCTGTTGGAACGTCTGTTGGAACATCTTTTTGAACATCTGTTGGAACGTATGTTGGAAC